CCACCCCCCCACACACACACACACCATCCAGTTACATAATCGAATCTAGGTGAAAAAGATATGGGCTGGATGTCTTGTGTATCCAAACAACGAATGGCAGTGTTTAGGTTGTGTTGTAAGTTGAAATAATGACCGTATTCAGTACAAAGTTTATTCATGGTCCGCCAGGAAAGGTAAATCATGGGATGTAAAAGCTAAAAAAATAGCAAGTAAGTTGTAGTGTTTCTGTACATTGTATGTACAAGTGGTTGTAAACGCTCCGTAGCGGATCGGTTACGGATGCTGACGAATGCTATGTCGGTAATTTGTATTACGTAATGTATTGCATGATGGGTAATAAAAGCACATGTTTTTGAGAAGCCATCTTGACCTGATGTTTGGTTAGTTGTGTCTAGATAAAGAACATAACAATTGGCGACGAGGACAAACATGACAGCGACATTTGGTAAAATCGACGCTTTTGAGGAGGCGGTCGGAACGTGGGAACACTATACAGAACGTCTGGGACATTATTTTGATGCGAATAACATCGGAAACACGGACGATGCAGACAAGGCAAAACGTAAGTCAATCCTATTGAGCGTTTGTGGCGGAAAAGTGTACAAGCTCATGTGCGATCTCCTTGTACCGGCTAAACCGGGCGATAAGACATATGATGAACTTGTGGCAATAGTACAGGGCCATTATCAGCCAAAATCATCAGAAATTGTTGAACGTTATAAATTCCATAACAGATTTCGAAGTGCGGGAGAAACTGTGTCAGATTATGTTGCGAGTTTGAGGCATTTAGCGGAACACTGTAACTATGGAGAAACCTTAGACAATATGTTGAGAGACAGAATAGTTTGCGGAATTAATGAAGATCGCATTCAACGTCGGTTGTTGTCGGAGAGTGAATTAACATTCAAAAAGGCATTTGACATCGCATATTCGATGGAATTAGCGAAGAAAAACGTAATAGACCTTCAACAATCTACTAGTTCAAAGGAACAAGTCAACAAGTTACAGTCTTCGCAAAGCGCGAAATTCAAAAACAATAAACAGTTCAACAAGGGACATCAAAGTTCTGGAAGTACTGATAGACATGACAAACCATGTTGGCGGTGTGGAGGGAAGCATAAACCTCACACATGCAGGTTTAAGGACTATGAATGTTACAAGTGTGGTCAAAAGGGACACATTAGGGATAAGTGCCCCAACAAGGAGGGGGATAAGTCAGGCAAGCTGTATAAAAGGCAAAGTGGTCAGTACAGCAAACAGCCTTCCAAGGTCCATATGATGGAGGATTCTGAGGACGAGATGTACATGATGTATCACATCAATCACATTGGGGAATCAAGGAAACCCTACCATGTCAAACTTCAAATAGGGGGTAAGAATGTGGACATGGAAATCGATACAGGCGCTGGAATTTCAGTGTTGAGTGAAACAACATTTCGCGAGTTATCTGAGGATACTGGACTCGAACTCAAACCCACCCAGGTCAAGTTACGCACATACACAGGGGCAAGTGTGCCTACTTTGGGCGAGTGCGTACTCACAGTGTGCTATCGTAACTTTACGAGAGAAATGTTGATTGTAATAGTCAAGGGTAACGGTCCGAATCTCATGGGACGCGACTGGCTAGGGAAAATAAAGTTGAACTGGGCTGAGATATTCAAGGTCAGTGAGGATCATGAACTACAGACAGTGCTTGATAAGCATAAGGCAGTCTTTGCAGGAGGACTGGGTAAAGTGAAAAACTTTAAAGCCAAGATATATGTGGATCAGAACGAGAAACCGCGTTATTTCAAGGCAAGACCAGTTCCATACGCATTGCGGGAAAAGATTGAAACGGAACTGGATAGACTGGTGCAGGAAGGCACCATTGAGCCTGTTGAAATGTCAGAGTGGGCGACACCTATCGTACCCATTGTCAAGTCGGATTCTACCATTCGTATCTGTGGTGATTACAAAGTAACTGTAAATCAAGTGAGTAAGTTGGACAACTACCCAATCCCTAAGACTGAAGATTTGTATGCTAGTCTTGGAGGTGGAGCTTTCTACTCGAAACTGGATTTGAGCCAGGCTTATCAGCAGTTAGAGTTGGACACCGAGTCGAAACCCTACACAACAATCAATACCCATAAGGGCCTGTTTTGCTATAATCGTCTACCATATGGGATTTCGTCAGCTCCCGGAATTTTCCAGAGGACAATGGAAAATATCCTTCAAGGTGTACCGCAAGTGATAGTTCGTGTCGACGACATCTTAGTCGCCGGGAGGGATCGACAGAGTCATATCAAGAACTTAGAACTGGTTTTGACCAAACTGGAGAATGCGGGTATACACTTGAAAAAGAGTAAATGCTTTTTCATGAAGGAAGAAGTTGAGTATTTGGGTCACAGGATCACTGGAGAGGGCATGCAACCGATTGAGGTCAAGGTTAGAGCCATCAAGGACGCTCCTGCGCCCAGGAACGTGAAAGAACTTCAGGCTTTCCTTGGTATGCTTAACTATTATGCGTGCTATTTACCCAACATAAGCACAGTGCTTGCACCACTTCACATGTTGTTAGCCAAGGAGACTGACTGGAAGTGGGGAAAACGCGAAGAAAATGCGTTCGTCAAGGCCAAGGAACTTTTACAGTCGGATACGGTACTCGTGCATTACGATCCGAAGAAGAAGCTAGTGTTGTCGTGTGATGCTTCTCCTTATGGCCTTGGTGCGGTTCTATCGCATGTCGAGCCAGACGGCAAGGAACGGCCTATCGCCTACGCGTCGCGTTCGCTGGCACCGGCTGAAAAGAACTACTCTCAATTGGATAAGGAGGGCGCAGCCCTTATCTTTGGTGTGAAAAAGTTTCACCAGTATTTATATGGAAGGACATTTACCATATATACAGATCACAAGCCGTTATTGGGGATTTTCAAGACTGATCGGGCCATTCCGACTATGGCATCTGCGCGCATCCAGAGGTGGGCGCTTCTACTCGCGGCATACGAGTATGACTTAATCTACCGTCCGGGAACATTGAATGCTAACGCCGATGGGCTTAGTCGATTACCTCTGAGTGAAACTGTAGATGAGGTACCAGTTCCAGGAGAAATGATTTTGATGATGGACACGCTTAACTCTTCGCCCGTAACCTTTGAGCAAGTGCAAACCTGGACAAAACAGGACCCTACGTTACAGGAAGTTATCGGCTGGGTGTACAGAGGTTGGGGAGAGAAGTGTCCGAATGAACGGTTAAAACCCTATCACAACCGGAGACATGAACTCAATCTGTATGAGGATGTTCTACTGTGGGGGAATCGCATAGTAATCCCTACATTTGGACGAGCATCGTTGTTCGACGCCCTTCATGAAGGTCACCCAGGCATCGTCAAGATGAAAAGTTTTGCTCGAGGGTACGTCTGGTGGCCAGGCATTGACGCCGAAATCGAGGAGCGAGTGAAGTGTTGTGAGTCGTGTCAACTACAGGCTTCCATACCGGCAATGGCACCACTTCATTCATGGGACTGGCCATCGAGGCCATGGTCACGCGTACATGTGGACTACGCAGGTCCATTTCTGGGTAACATGTACCTGGTCGTCATTGACGCATAAAGTAAGTGGGTTGAGATTTTGGTTACAAACTCATCCACATATCA